GGACAACCCTCCAAAAAGAGACTGGCCTCTGCATTAGGCCTAGAGCTTCGAACATATGCATATCTCTATCTTTGTGACAGAAATTCTTTATAAGGAATATGACAAGCTTTAAAAACATCTTTGTATTTTATAATTTATACGCTGTCATGGTTCTATGTTCATTAAGGTTGTTATCACAAGAGACAAATTATAAAGTGCCTGTACTGAGATAGGGAGGAAAGCAATGAGACTTTATCTTGGCGTTGTACAGAGTAATAGATAACCAGTTAAAAATTATTCCTCCAGCTGAAGCCTAGCTAATCCTTTTTCCAAATCTTAAAGCACAACTCCTTACTAATGACAATAATTTTTACTGCAGTTTCAACCTCTACATTTGAGGAGTTTGAGATAAGAAGAACCTCCAACCCCCAAGCCTCCCCATCTCCAGGCCATGAAACACAGGAGTTGCAGACCTTTCCACTGTAGTTACAGTTATAATAAAACCTAGAAACAAAAGCCAAAATACACCTGTCAGACAAGGAGAAACACAAAAGAGGTACACTAGTGAAAATAAAAATATTTCTATACATTAGTGATACCACTATGAAACATTCAGAACTAAACAAAAGAAATGAGCTGCATTTCTGCCTTCTATTCTTACATTAAGGCATAAAACAGAAGCAGGGTTTTTGTTGTTAAATGAAAAATTTGACAACATGTGTAAGCTGGAGTATGAGAATCCACAGGAAATTAGTGGTTTAAATTCACCAAACCTACCTCCGAAGCTCTGATTATTTTTTTTTCAACTGACAGTGCTGAAACGCACTAATTTATAGCATCCGAATGTTTTAAGAGAGTATATTCAATCATATTAAAAGCAGGCCTTATTTTGCTGAAAATACAAGCTGAAGGCAGGTACTCTACAGCTGGAGATGTAAGACCATATGCTACTTGCACGTCTGATCTCATTGAAAAAGGAACCAGAGAAACTGTACCAGATTACTATGGACAGATGTCATGAACAAGAATAACTTAGGGGAAGTGTTCCGTACAGCACATTTCTGCTCAAGACGACAGCAGTAGTAACCAACTTCTCTTCCCATTTCAGAATACATTTGAGTTGCTTTTATCTCTGGTTTTTGCTAGATATTAGAAAGCTACTGGGATTTTAGGAATCAGACCTGTTCTTCAGTATGAAATTTTACTCCATCTCCTACCTTGCTTTCATGCACTGACAAATACAGATATATATCCAAGAGTTATGTATATATATATTTGCATATAATTTTAGTTGAACCAATCTAATTGTATTTGCAACTCTGATGACCCACTTCATAATTAAGCAGGGCAGCTGTAGAATTTCCTTCTCCCGCTGCTCTCACATCCCTTCCCAGAGCACAGCACCGCCGCGTCCTCTTTATCCTTCTGCGAAACGGGCCTCTCCAGCAGAGCAAGGAATATACTATTTCAGTTCAAGGTGTCTTGATGGCTGCCATCAATATTGTTCCAATATTTGACTAATGAAACTAAAATGACCACTCAAGAGAAGCTTTCTCTGTACTTAAACTTCAGGAATTGGTAAAAAGTTTAACACTCTCTCTCATACGTTCCCTTCTCATGTCTCCCTGGTATGAAACAGCATGAGTCCAGATTTGATCAGGGCCTGAGCAAGTCTTGAGGTGAACTGAGGGAAAAAAGATTTCTCAAATGAAAGTGACATTACCATACATATGAATAAATTTCAGAGGAAATAAGATTTTTCAACTATTCCTCAAAGTTTGGTTGCTGTGGGGAGAAAAGAAAGTGCTGTGGAGGGCAAGGTGAAGAACAAACCCCAAGTTTTTCTTTTTTTAAGATATTTCAGAATTAAATTAAAGATTGCAAATTTTGTTCCTAGTACTTAACAATCTGTAGGAGAGAATTAATGGAATTGAGTGAAAGAGTAAAAAGTACAATCCTTAACTTTCTATCTGTATTCTGAAACTGCATTTGGATTTTTGGCTGTATAGCGGTGAAATGATTCTTTGGTACAAGCAGTTTCACATAACTTGCTTTGTGGGCTTAAGAAATACACTTTCTGAGAAATACACAGACCATTTTCCCTGTGGACAACCAGAGGGCTCTGGAACTGAACTGGGAACCATTCTTAGATAGATATACCTAACTAGCATATACAATCAGAATATCTTAAAGGACGCAGAAAGCAGAATTAATCTTTTCCATTTCTTTGATGTATCACTCTAATTTAGCAGGGCTCTAGTAAAGCACAACTGATAGGAGCAAAAGCAATTACTTCCAGGAATTTTAACAGGCTTCATGCATTCCTCCATTTTAAGGCGCTAAAACCTAGACAAGTTTACAGAACTATTTCTTTAACAACTACTAGAACATATCTAATTCTATGCTCTTATTAGTCACTGTCAGAGCAGCCTATAATGATTTCCTAGAAACAAGGTCTCTTGCAGTTTCATCTGCAGAACAGGCTGTGATGCTGCAGAATCACAGTTTGCTCCATAGTTCTGCTCATGGGAAATGAAGTGTTGTCCACACAAAAATAATTGTAGTTCTTTGGCACATCACACCTTCACTCCTCAAAGTGCAATTCCAGGGAGTGTTCATGTATGTTAGAAGCTGACAAAGATCATCCTGGAAATTTTTTTCTCCTTATATTCAAAAGGAAGAGATGAAGCAAGCCTCAAGAGAAGCAACTCAATCCAAGCCAGAAGAGCCTTCCTCCAAAAACAAGCCTCTCGAGTCTGCAAGACGAATCTAATGTTTACTACTATCTCCTCTAAATAGCCATGAAGGCAGGTTAGACCAGGACTGTTATTACCCCTAGTATCTGTAATGGGTTCTGCCCTAGACATTTCTTGGCACTGTCACTGCCTTACCCTTGGTGCCAGACCTGCTGTCTGCTACTTTTTAGGCATGTACGGGCAGGGTGCGCAGACCACTCCAGCCCCTCCACAGCTCTGTCGAGTACACAGGAACAGGACTGGAAGTTGCTAAATTAATTGATTATGCCAGATAGCAACCTCGTCGCTTGAGTTTCTTCTGTGAAGTGAAAGGCTTAACCAGTGGGAAACAAAAAGCCCACAGAGGATACTGAAAAAGATACTGGAGTTTAAAACCCAAAAAAGAGTGGAAGAGTATCTCTGTCTGCAGCTACTCCATCCTCTTCCAGGCCTTTCCCTCCCTCTCTCTGCAGAGCTGTGCTGCATCCCACTCTCACTACAGGCTTTCTTCTCCTGTGCATACCCTGTTAAACAGGTTTTGGTCTAATTAATTATCCTGCTGATATGAAATCGCAAAAGGATCCTGGTCTTCCAGGTACATGCAGATTCATTAACACATTTAAAGAATGAACCCTCTCTCTCTCTCAAAAACAGCACTACAAACAAACAAAAACAAAAAGCAGAAAACTTGCTCAGAAGAAACATGATAGTTGCAATTTCAGACTTCAACCAGTTAACTCAGATAACAAATACACTTCCAGACTACCCGAATTGGTAAATACATTGAACTAGTTGAGTTGTTCAGAGACCAAAATCAGCCCAAAACTTAACATAAAACACCATATATTAAAATATTCATGTACCAAACATTTTATATGATGATCACTATTAAGATTTCTAATCCAACTTCTTTTGCTGAGACAACAGTTTCATTAACTGTCACGGTGAAAATCTAATGATGCATGGAAATATGCCTCGAAAACATCAAACAAGCAGAACTGTCACAGGAGATGCCTTCGAATTTGGGCACCAATTTTCCATTTCAACATAGACAGATACAGAGACAGCAACTAAACTCATCCGCACTAACTCTACATCTTTTGAGAGAAAAACAGTAATGGAACTACCACTATCATTAAATGTGCAGAGGAAAATATACAAGGCCCAAAGACAGAGTTTTCTTCATAAATCATATAATTTTAAATGAAAAATAGTTACTAGCTCACATTTGCATTTTTTTAGGTTTTTATACTCTGTGATATTACTCAAGCTCCTTTTTAACTAAGAATGGGGTTGAATAAAGAATGTTTGGAATATCCTAGGATTTGGCAATGCTGGACTTTAAATATTAGTATGGGATTTGTGGGTAAAGGAGACCCGTCCTAGGACACCAGCCCAGTGTTGGACTCTAAACCTTCCCCTCCATTCTCAAGGCACAGTGTAAGAAGCTTGGGCTGTGTGAAATGGCAAATTTCATTTTGAAGCACCTCTGTATACAGCAAATTCTGGTTTTATACTCTATTGCTGTAAAATACAAAATTTGTACATTTATGTTCAACGCAAAAACTCGATGTTTTCCTGTCACATTGTATAAAGAAGAAAAATGAGGTAATAAACCTACATATGCACTACCCTATATATGGGCTTCCTCTTATATTTCCAGTCTCCATAGTAAAGATACATTTTCATTATACATTTGAAGACACTTCTTGGAAAATGCCAGGTAATTTTAATTTCAGACCTTTAAACCTCTATGACTACCATCTTATTAATAAAAAAAAACCCAAGTTGGAATTACTTAGTGTCTCAAAAAAGCCCAAGATCTAAAGCAGTATAAATGTACACTAAATAAATATAACACTGTTTTCAAATTTATAATTAATATGTTTTACAATGTTAAGAATAACAAGCATTTAAAAGTGCAATGTCAAAACTGACCCACATTTGGCTATTCTGTAGAAGTATTATTAGTTTTCAACAGCAAAATGTTTATCAAAATAATACTCTCCAACTAAAATAACCCTGTTGGTATCAGCAGCACTCCACATACTATATAAATGTGTTTATGACTCAAAAATGACATAATTTGCAGCTGTCCATTTCAGTCTTAATGCAGTTTTTTTGGAAGCAGAAGGAATCCTGTACAAATTTAGTCAGCATACTGCTGGTGCTTGTATCATGCTTAGAGAGCCAATATCACATAAGAATACATTTCTTCGTAATAGCTTGGAGTAGCATAAAGATTAGATTGATAAAGTAATATATATATATACACATATATATTACCTGTTCTTGCCTCTCCAGCCACTTGTCCACCATGGGATGACTGGCACTTAACGATGAACGAGCATTGTCTCTCTGAAACTGGTTAGACCAGCTACTAGTATCTCGTGGTAGGCTTCTGTAGTTTTCATCTTTCTAGTTTAAAAGAAACAAAAAAGTGTCTTATAAAAAACAACCAGTCCTTGCACATTAACAATGCAGCTGGTTATTAAACCAATACAAAAGGAAGACTGACAAAGGAGAAGGCAGGTCCAGCTGGACCCAAGGACAACGCGATTTCCCAGCCATTCAATTGCAAGAGCTCCCCTTCCTTAACACCATTGAAGCCCAAGGAAAGCCTTTGGTGGGCTTGTACCTCCTGCACCCACTTGTGCTTCACGACCTCTCTTCTCCAACCTCAAACCTCTAGTGCACAGATTTACCAAGTACATAGTCAGCAAGGCTTTCAGAGCATCGTGCTCCTTAGTTTCATTCTCACCAAAAGCAAACATACCATGCAACAGTCCATCCAGTGACAGCTAAGGCCACTACATAATTTTCCAAAGTCTCTGTATGTAATAAATTTTACAATCAAACCTGTCTCACTGCTCCAGGTACCATCCTTTAGACCAGAATAGCATGCTAGAGAGTTCAAAACTTGAATTTATTATTCCACATAATAATGCTTTGCTTGGTTTGCCTGAAGGTATACAAATACAGTCACATTTGTAAAACAGCAGGAGATGGAGATTATGCTGACGGAGATACATTTATCCCATTGAGACTGATAAAAAAAAGATTTTTTTTTTTCTTTTTAATTGATGAGTTTGTCTTCACATCCTTCCCATAAGCTGTACAAATTCTTCAGCTTCTAAAGATGATTAGTCCTCACCCAGTCTGATCACTAAAAGCCAATAAAAACACAGAGGCAAATTCTTAACGATAGGAGTTACCCTTAGCCCAAAGTCAATGAATTACTGATAATGTACAGAGGTTAGTTCCCTCCAACTGAAATAATATATGAAACTGAAATTCTGTTTAGCTTTTCAAAAGAGGATTATAAATATACTGTAAGTATCCTTCCTTTAGAAGCAAGACTATTTTTTCCAGTCAATGTTTGTCTATCCTCACGCCAAATCAGATAATTTAGAGAGAGTATCTATTTTCCTTATAGTCATTTATTAGCAAATAAAATAGGATTGTAGTCCTACATATGTTGCAATACTACCGCTTTTAGGAATCTCGAAAATCTCTAAAAAAATAAACACCAGTGCACATTCGCAGCTAAAAACTATTTTTTTTTATTTACAGCACACAGCAAATTTTTTACCCTTTCTTAAATCAATACTTCGTTCCATCAGCATGAGTATTTCTTTTTCGTATTTATTGTATTGATATTTCTTTGGCCTGGCACAGTATTAGTCCAATATTCTAAAATATGGACTGTAGCATCAACTCCCTTACAATTGTCATTCATAACTTTATTTCTTGTAAATGTATGACAGGCTTGCTAGGAAATGCCGGTCTCAGGATAACTGTGATACGTAGCACAGTTTTCAAAAGCTTCCTGTGCTAGAGCAGTCTTTTCCCAGACATATCAAACTTAAGCTTTATTAACTGATGACAACATTTTTTCTTGAAAGAGACTTTGTAGTAAAAAATAAGTCTTCCATTTCAAGACATTAAAGCTTGAATTCAACAGCACAAGATAACCTCGTAAAAGTATTTCTGCACAAGTAACCAGCCAAACAAATCATCATCATAAATTATTTTACCCTGCCACAAATGCGTAAGAACTTTGCGTCTTTCAGCAACTACAAAAAATCCAGTTTTCCAGTGCGGTTAACCACACAGCAAACTAGAAACTTGCTCAGTCTCTTGCTTAGAAAGGGACAATGGAATTCAGTCGCTGCTTTGTACAACTGTTCCTTTAGCAGAGCCATAAAAGTCAGGGAACGGTGTGTACAAATTGATTTTTTCCTGTTGCTTCTCTTATTCACTTCTTTTTTCTGGTGACAGAGGTGGCACAGTTCTTATAAGCCAAAACAACAACTTCTCTTGTTCAAAGCGGTGGAAAGGTATAACAACAAAATCAAAATCTGACAAAGAAGTAACAAAAGATCATTTTATGCACAAAAACCCCCATACAGTTGGTACATGAGTTATTGTCATCTAACAATAACTCACTGACAGACCATCACCTAGTCTGAATGAATAGAAATTTCTTCCTACACAAGATGTTTTCTGTATTTCTGTACTTCAGAGATTATTCAATTTTTTATTGATTCATGTCTACAATCTTCAATATAAACTTTTTAAAAAGACATTTTTATCTATGCTACACAAAAATCTCTCTCTACATAGCATACATTACCCGTGCACAGGAGTGTTCTGCAAAAGCAAGAGAGAAGGAAAAAAAGTTCATCAGGGGATGTGCTGTTCTTCAATCATTCAAACACTAAGTCTCTGATCTGAATCATGCAGGACAGTCTTATTGCTTAGAGTTTATGTTGGAACTTCACGCTGTAAAAAGTCTTAAATGCCACAGCACACAATGTAAGTGAAATGATCTAAGCTAAAAGAGTTAAATTAGGCCTCTGTTTGGTGCATCTATACTAATGTCAAGAATTCTGCAAGGAGTTTACTCCTAATACTATCTGTGCTGACCAGAAGAGTATATTCATCCTACCTAGTGAAATATTTCTGCTGTAGCTCTCTTCTGTAGAAGATTGCCTTTCTCCTGCTAAGACCTATACCAGTTCATTTTATACAGAAGGCATCAAAGTCACTCAGCAATTTTTCTGATAGCAGAAGTAAAAGCTGAAATGGTAGAGAGATGTGATTCCTGTAACTTTTCCTCAGTGCTGCTCAGAGGCTCAAAATAGCGCTATTATCAGGGAGGAATAAAATACTTTACCAGTGTTGCAATCACACACATAGCCAAACAGTGAAACATTAGAAAAACAACCAGCCACAGACAAATCCTTCACTCCTTTCTTTGTCGCTGCTTTTTGGCAAACAGCTATCCCTATACCCCACGGGTGACAGCACTAAGCTAGACCAGGAGCAGAGAGACCAGCACTCTCAACACTGCCGCACGCAGTCCTTCTCGCAGACAGCTACACAACAAAACCCTAAGATGTTGCTGGCCTCCTGGAACCCTATCTATGCAGGGACCTCCATTACTGCTACTGCCAGATCTATTCAAAGTTAGCAGTGGTGATAAACTATAGAAGTGGAGGTGAAAAACACATCGCTGCAGCTTAGACATTGGGATTTACTGAACCAGCTGCAATGTTATACACTTAAAATTTATATAGGGTTTTTTTTTGTAAAATATGCAGATGTTAACCCAGAAAGCTTTACTGCTATTCAGTATGACTTAGCATTAGCACACATGCTCCCAACATCCAACTGGAAAAGGTGTGTGTCACTTTTAACTTCCATACCATAAAGAAAAAGATTTCGTGGTATAGAAGCCATCAGGGTCACGTAGGGCATTCTCATTTCTTCTGAAGCTGCAGCTGTAAGCCCTCCTGCGACCGGGGCTGACATGCATCATCAGCTACAATTAAATGCTCTAATATTTTTTTAAAAAAGTTTATTTCCCAAACATCTCTGGGGACCACGGGCCATGTCAGCTTTATCATGTTTGAAATGGAAATTGATCAATATAACACTAAAACTGCCAAGTCACAATATTACCACTACACTTAACACAGCATTTTGCAGTATTTTTAATGAGGACACACAATCTAACACCTTAAGATTTAGTTCAGCGTGGTGTCCCTGACTTTTTTTTGCTATACATTCTTTTTTCTTGTACACTGTGCATTTTGGGAAAGGCTTCTTGCTTTTGGGTTTGATTCCTTGTGATGGCCTCAGATTGAGATAAGATTTGTCTATGTTGATGAGAGATGAGCCTTCGTTTAATCTTTTGAGATTATAATTTCATTTGACAGACTTTGGGCAAATTCATGTCTACAAGTGTATTTATTGTTGTAGAATCACTATAAAAGCTGCTCTTCTTTCTTTTTATGGTCCACTACATCCATGTTAAACCCTGGACAGTTTGGTGTCACACCCGGACAGGATGCTAAAAGCTGTAATTAACAAAACATCCATATAATGAATGTAAATACTTCTCTGTCTGATGCAAATATCCATTTATAAATGCAATAATAAACACATATACCCGTTTTCCGTGCTGTTTGAAGGTCTAGTAAACAGATCCCTGGGGGTTTTTTTGTTTGGTGTTTTTTGTGTGTGGTTGTTCTAACTGGATTTTAAACAAATGAGGGATGAGACCAGCTGGATCCCCTTTTCCCCCCAAAAAAGAAGTCTGCACAAATAATGTCTATTTTACAGGGAAAATACATTACATATGGGAAATTAATTAACCCAGTAGATGTATTGAACAAACAGAAATTCACTTTAAAAAAAAAAAACCTTTTACATGGTCAGATTTGGAACTGATCTCTCTATTCATCAGCAGCTTTTTAACAACAAATTGTACCAAATTTCAACAGCTTACCTCAAAACTAATTCTATCAGTCCCTGAGTAAGTAGCTCTTCATAAACTTCCATATATCTTAAGAGTCTGACACAACTGCTTTTTTCTCTCAGTAGATTCAGTTTATTTTACCATTCTACGGTTTAGTTTCAAAGCTTGCTTTTTTTGAGGTGTATTGAAGAACATAGGCCCCAGGAGCTCTAATAATCCAGATACAGCCCAGCCATCTAATGCTTATAAGGAACTGGTTCCAGTCACCCAATATAAGGAACCTTTGAACTTAGGCCATTCCCCAAGGAGTACAAGCGAAAGAGGAGTCCCACATCAAAGAATTATCTCAGCTTTGTGCCGCCTCTAAGCTCTGACCCGGAACATGGGTCATTCCCAGCAACTGGTAAAAACTGTCTTAGGATGCAGAAGATGCAAATCTAGTAACCTAATAAAGAACTTGCATGCCTTATTTATGATGAAAATAGATGAGAAGAATGACCACTCTATAGCCATTTTGATGCCTTTAGAAAGACTCATGTCACCCTATACGTAAGGGAGAGGTTTGATTGTACAGCCCTTACAGTTAGTGATGATGTGGTTGAGAGCCTCTGGGTGAGGATTAGGGGGATGGAAAACAAAGGAGATGTTGTAGTGGGTGTCTACTTCTGATTGCCCAGCCAGGATGTTAGCACTGATGAGTTATTCTATAGGCAATTAGGAGAAATTTCTGGATCGGTAGCCCTTGTCCTTATGGGAGATTTCAACTCCCCAGGCATCAACTGGGAATATCATACTGCTCTGACGAGCAGGTCTTGGAAATTCTTGAAGTTTGTAGGAGATAACTTCTTGTCACAGGTACTCAGTGAGCCAACTAGGAAAGATGCCCTCCTAGACTTGCTATTTGTGAATAGAGAAGGATGGGTGGGGGATGTGATGGTAGGTGGGTGTCTTGACCACAATGATAACGAAATGGTTGAGTTTAAAATTTTCAGTGTCATGAGAAAAAAG